ACTGCAGCTCGCCAGGCTTCCCTGTCCATCACCAACTGCTGGAGCTTGCTCAAACTCATGTCCATCAAGTTGGTGATGCCATCCAATCATGTCATCCTCTATTGTCCCCTCCTCCTCCTGCATTCAATCTTTCCCAGTATCAGGGTCTTTTCCAGTGAGTCAGCTCTTCGTATCCAGTGGCCAAAGTATTGGAGCTTCACCTTCAGCATCAGTCCTTCCAATGAACACCCAGGACCGATCTCCTTTAGGATGGACTGGTTTGATCTCCTTGCAGTCCACAGGACTCTCAAGAGTCTTCTCCAACACCACAGTTCAAAAGCATCAATTCTTCGGTGCTCAGACTTCTTATGGTCCAACTCTCACATCCTATATCTAATAGTTGAGCATTATTTTTATTTTATTTGAAATTACTTGTGAAGATAGGCTATATTTGTTATGAACTTAATTTCAGGAGGGCACTCTGAATATTCGCTATCCTCAGGGGACACCGGTGGGGCTGAGCAGAGAACCCCAGTTTCAGCGCAGCACTCCAGTGCCCCATGAAGGGGGTGGGGGGCCGAGCAGCGTCTCCTCCCGTCATCACACACATGCATCTGATCTGCGTACGCGTGTCCATGCCTCTGTGTGTGTCCTTTATATTTTTTTCACTAATGGGATCATACTAAACACATTATTCTGCAAAAATGTTTATTTAAACAATTAATGTGTTATATCTTGAACAATTAGTGTGTTATATCTCGAACACATTCATGTCAGCACAGATAGCTCTACTTAGTTCTTTTCAATGGTTGCAGAGTAGTTTATTGTGTGAAGGAACCATAATTTATTAAACCACCTCCTAGTGATAAACATTAGTTTTTTCCATTTGCTTTTCATGATAAATAACTCTGTCATTATTACATAGATTTAGGTATCACTGTGTATCTGTGTGAATATATCTGTGAAATAAAGTTCTTAAAGAGAATATACAAGTTCTGGGTTAGATGGTAGGTATGTCCATTTAAAATTTTGAAAGTTATTGACACATTTCTTTCCAAAAAACACTGCACTGATTTATATGCATATAACAGTGTATGAAAATATCTGTTTCAGAAACCTCTCCAGTTGGGCCTCAAGAAACACTCCAGTCTTTGATAAGCTGATAGGTTTTATTAGAGTCTAATGTTTATTTTAATTTGTAGCTTTAAAATTATGAATACAGTGCATATCTTCTTATATGCCATGGGGCATCTGCATTTCTCCTGTTCATTTGCTTTACCCATTTTTTTCTATTGATTTCTTTCTTTTATTTCTAAAAACTTCTTTATATATTAAGGAAATTAGCTTTTTGTCACCTGTGTTCCACTTAGAAATTTTTTATTCTTTGTCTTTTGAGTGTTTTTACATACATATGAAACATTTATATTTTAAGCAGTAATTTCTCTCATTTTTCTTTGTCTTTTGTATTTGGAACAAATTTTAAAAGGCCTTTCCCTTTTTATTTTATTAAATATTATTAAAATATTTCCCTTGTGTTTTTTTTTCCTAGCTTTATTATGGCCTCATTCTTTCAATTTAAAGTTTTGATTAACTTGAAATTTATTTTGATATAGAGAGTGAGGTATGGATCCAATAGGCCAATTGTCCCAACACCATTAACTGAATGATTTATGTTTCCTCTACTGATCTGAAATGCTGTATTTATAAACACCCAAAGAGTTAGACATGGCTGAGCACATGGTGCAATGACAAATGATCTGAACTCTGTATGCTGTTCCATTTATCTATTTGCTTCATTTTCAGTTAGTAGTTTTAATTGTTGTAACTCTATCACAAAATTTTAAAATATGCTGTTTTATTCACTTTTTTATTTCACAATTTTTCTAGCTACCCTTGAGTATTTATTTGTCTAGTAATTAGTGTCATTTTGGCAAGCCTTAAGTTCTGTTGGCATTTTGATTGAAAACGCTTTGAATTAATAGAATACTTTAGGGGAACTGACATCTTCATGGTGTTGAGTCTTCCTATCTAAGAACAAGCTGTAGCTCTCCACTTTTTGTTTTTAATATTCATTTATTTAGGCTGCACCAGGTCTTAGTTGCAGCGTGTAGGACCTTCTACCTTTGTGGTGGCAAGTGGAATCTAGTTCCCTGACCAGGGATTGAACCCAAGCTCCCTGTATTGGGAGCAAAGAGTCTTAGCCACTGGGCCACCAGGGAAATCCCTCCATTTACTCTTTTATACCCTTTAGTGGAGTTTTAATGTTAAGTTTATTTCTCAGCATTCTCTTTTTTTCTTTTTTTTATTTTGGTGCTGTTGCTACTGTTTTCCCCTATTTTATTTTTCTAGCCAGCTATTGTTTACTTACAAGAAAGCTAATGGTTATATTTGTAATATTATACTATTGTGTATGTGTTATATATTTGTAATTAGAATAATTTTAATAGTTCAACATTAGGTGTAATTCTGATTTAGGTATGAGATATTTATATTTGTATTCATTTTCTGCTCTATGATATGACTTTAAAGTAGACAGATCAAAATACAAACAAATCTTTGGTCAAGGGTTCAACCTAAAGACTCAGCTCACATCCAGACTGGCCTTCTGCAGACCCCGAACAGCTAAAGCAACCAGCTAGCTTTTAGCACCGACTTTCTGCAACAAGAGTTTTCAACTCAAATTCCTTTCCAGATTAGGCTTGTAAGATAATGAGAAAGCAGGTGGGTGGAGGCCCTGTCTTGAGGGGCTCCTGCCACTCATCCTCCGCTTTCTACAACCATGTAAGAATACCACCCAGTGTGGCCAGATCATCTGATTTTTCAAGAGAGCCAGAGATGCAGATTAAAAAATTTTTAATGTTTACTCAAATTTATAAAAAGTCCTACATGGGCCCAACTAACCATATCTGTTTTTACATATGGTTCTAATCTGTGGGTTAGGTTAGCCCTTTGGGCAACGGACCACCAGTATGCCACATCAATAGATAAGAGTCTCAGAAACACAACCACAGTCTCAACGTTTACTGGATTACTTTCCATCTAAATAGGCTTGGGCAGATGGTAGAATATGTCATCCTGTGATCTGCCTAAACCCATGAACCCCAAACCCAATAACAAACCCTCCATCTGCAGAGCAGGCCCCTCGGGGGTCTCACGTGATCCTCACAAGGGTCCCGAGAGACCAGGACGAAAGTCACAGCACGGAAGTGAGGGCGCCAGGACTAACCCCAGGCTATCTGTGCGGTAGAGTGGCCGACTGTACCCACCGGGTCTTCAATTTTACCTCTGCTGCTCAGTGGCTGTGATTTCTGGCAAGCTACTTAATTGCCCCAGGCCTTTTAAGAAATGGATCTGATATAATAGTACCCACCTTCCGGGGCTCCTCCAAGGGTCTGGAACTCTATAACTACTAGATAAAGTGACTTACTATTATTATTAACTAATCCAGGCTTCTTTCTACTTTACCACCCCTACCTATCCAATTATTTGTACTTCTTTGAAAAGAATAAGGACCCAGGAGACTGTGAAGGCCGGCTCTACCTCTCTGCCTTCCCCTGTATACTTCCTCTCCCTGAGACTTGGTTTCTGCATCTGTAAAATGGGGATGCTGTCAGAGATCTTGTCACAGACCCTCATGACCCCAAGGAGGAGGATTCATGGGACACCTGTGATGTTTAGTAAAAGAATGAACCTCAGTTCATTCTGACTGAGGTTCTCCATAGATCCTTGCTCCATTACTGACACCCCTATCCCTTGCAGGCTCAATTGCCCTCCAGCCTCTGGCCCCATTTCAGGCAGAGAGGGGACCAAGTCACTCTTGCCTCTGAACTGATCCCCACGTGGTACCTGGATCTGCAAAAAGAGCCCTGGCTGCTCTCACCTGAGCCCCACGACCTCCAGTCTCAGAGCTGGGCCTGCCCTGCCTAGGAGCCTCCATGAGGCTGGGAGAGAGCCTGCCTCATCCAGCTCTTTCCCTAAAGTTCTAACCCAGATCCAGTCCTGATGCAAGCACAGCCCACTCACATTTCTAAGAACCCCTTGTCTCTAACTGCTTCCTGGGTCTCGTGTATCAGCCTACGGGGACATCCCACTACCTTAGGCTCTCGTCCAAGTGCCCCCTGCCCCCCACCATCTGTTCAGTATCCAAGACTGCCTCTTGCCCGTTCAGTCAGACATCTTCCCGGAGTTGGTGGCTGAGTCTGTCGGTCCGTATTAGCCCAGTGCTGCTGGAGTAGGGCGGGGTGTCTGCCTGTCCCACCCTTGTGGTCCAGCCCCTCTCACAGCGGCGAGCCTGATGTGACCAGCCACCTCACAAGGAGTAATAATCACGCCGTATTGGGTGCTTGTGTGTGCTAGACCAGTGTCTAAGCAGCTCATGTGTTTGCAGCATTTAATTCTCACAGCAACACCGTGGGGTGGGTGCTAGCACCATTTTACAGATGAAAAAACCATCTGTAAGGCCAGAATTTTTATTTAACTTCCTCAAGAATACGCAGCTACCACAAGTTCAAATCCAGCAACATGCCTCCAGGGCCCACATGCTTCATTTTCACACTGACAACTCAAGCCACTGGTCTTTGAGAAAGGTCTAAACCTCCTGTCCTTCTTGACTCCACCTGGAAACCTGAAACTCCTGGAAGCTATTTGGCAGGAATCCCACTCACCCTACGGGCTGAGGCCCACCAGGACTGCCTTTCTCCCAGACAGCTAAATCCCAGCCATCTGAACACTTCACCCCAGTCCCAGGGGCCCCGAAATCACCCAGCCCCTTGATGTGAGGCTTCCCTGCTCCATCCACGCCCAGCCCACTGCCCATTTGCTACCTGCTCTCCTCCGGCTCTATCAGAGCATCTACAGCCATGTCTCAGTCCCCCAAGCTATTCCAGGACCTCCTAACCTCATTAAAAGGAAGACGGCCCTTGTCAAGCCCCAAAGCACCAAGAAGCCATTTTCATCATCACACACATTCTCTCCCTCCCCGCCACTCACCCCTTGCCCCACCACACCCTGGGTGCCCTCACCTGTCACAATGGGGTAGGACTGCGGCCCAGGCACACTGCTCCCGATGTCAGCGGGGGTGGGACTGGTCAAGTTGGCCTTCATGTCATCCAGCCCTCCTGCCAGCGAGGCCATGGTGGAATAATCGGCGGTCTGAAAGAGGAAACAAGACAGGTGTCTCAGCATGGAGGTTCCAAAGCACTCCAGCCACATACCACTGCCACGTTCTGGGCTCAGCCAGCGAGCCCGTACCAGCACCAAGGCTCCTGGGGGGCTCACAGATCCCTGGCATTCCGAGGACACATTCAGCTTGACAGAACAGGACAGGTGTCCAGAATCAGGACATCTCCCCTGACAAGGTGGACAAGATTCAGTGCAGCCTCACGAGAATTCAAACCTTGCTTCTTTATGGCCTGCAGGTTCCCCTCCATCCCTCAGCCCCAGCCAGCCAGGGACAACCAACCTCCTCTATGCAAGGAGGGAGGCACCTATAACCAAAGCAAGGCCCAGAAACATGCATCTTGTAGCCAAGAGGATGGAAAGGAAAGTCTCTCCTTTCTGTGCTCTTAAACCGCAAGTGTAGAGTCACAAAAACGAGGGTTAAAGGGAGTTTGGGTCATCACCTAGTTGAAACGCTCATTTCACAGAGGAGGAAACTGAGACCCAAGGGGACGAGGGCTGTGCCCAGGGTCAGCAGGGGATGGTTCACCATAAACTCTCACCCCAAAACCATCACATCAAAGCAAATGTTCCTAAATTCTGGAAGCGTGTGAACACCAGTAAGCTGAAAACCGATTTACCAAACCCACACCGACCATGTACACTTGGCCCATGAGTCACGCTCTGTTCTTTAAGCCAGTGCATGAAACCAGAGCTTGGGATGCGTCATTTCCTTGGCACCACTGTCAGAATGGTCTCCGGAAAGGTTGTGAAGCTGCCAACATGGGTCTTCCCGCTCCAGGAAAAACCACAGTATAAGCAAGAGTGACAGGTCTCTTCTTCCCATTCCCCACTTGAATCCCAGGCCTATCTTCAGATGAAGAAATTATCCGCAGACACCCAAGCCAAAGAGTTTGGCTGTGCCAAGCTCTAGCGCAGGGAGTCTTCTCCATCACCCTGGCACTGCCAAAGCATGATGCCTTTCTGTCTGTCCAGGGTTATGTCCTTAGCGGACAACGACAAGGAAACAAGCAGTCTTCTGAAAGGAGTTTGCAGGCTCCCTGGGCAGGATGATGGGGACTGAGTCCCTGGGAGGGAAACCGGAGGAGTCACTGGGCAAGTGGCAAGCAGAGGGGACGAAGATCGGGCACGTCCCGGAGCTTTTCTCTGCAAATGAATTAGAACGTGGTCCCAGGGCGGCTCGACTGCTGAGCACGGTGGGCGGCAGCCGTGCGTCCAGGAGGCACGGCAGACCCAGGCACCCTAAGATGGATTCTTGTCCAGAGCTCCCGGGACTTTGCACCTATCTCTAGCAGAGGCTGATTCTGCAACGTGCAGAGAAGAGCAAAGGCCCAGAGTCAGCCCAGGGGCTTCTACAGGAGAAGGACAAGATGGTGACGGGCCTCCCCGACATCAGGAATCACTATGAAGCTGCAGTAATTAAGACAGTATGAGACGGGCACAGGCATGGATAAATTGACCAGTGAAACAGAATCGAGTCCAGAAACTGATCTGTGCATGTATGGAACCTTGATATATGAGAGAGGGGATGCACAAATCAGCAGGGAAGGATCAGACTGTAATAAACAGTGCAGGGGAACCAGTTATCCATTCAGAAACAAGGAGGGAAAAAAGAAATTGGATCTTTACTTTACACCAGACACAAAAATCAATTCTGGGTGGATTAGAGACCTAAATGTGAAAGGCAAAGGCATCTAACACGGTCCAGACTTGGGAACAAGTCTGCCCTTCATAGAAAAGAAAATGTGTGTCCCTGGAATGCTCACAGAGTTCCTGGTCACTGTGAGGACAGTAGTGATTCCTGGCCAACCTGCTGCCTTGCTTCAATGCCTCTTCCTCCAGGAAGTCCTTTCTGACTACCACTTCCCAGGAAGCAGGAGTTCAGATTGGCACCAGGACAATACGAATCATGATATTCACAACTACGTCAAAGCTCACACTTGTCAATCACTGACTCTATGCCAGGAGCTTTTATCTGTGTTATCCCATTTAACCCGCACACTTACCCCCATGTAGTAGGGTCTACATTATTCCTATTGTACAGATGAGGAACTGAGACTTCTAACAAAGGAGGAACGTGTTTGCCTAAAGAGTCGGACACGACTGAGCGACTGAACTGAACTGAACCGAATGTCACACAGCTTCTAGGTGCCAGAGCCAGGATGCAAACCTGGGTCCATCTGACTCCAAAATCTTGACAATCACCCTAATGATTTTCATACTGTGTCCTAACCCTTCAACAGGTAGGAAATCACTGCGCTAGTACTAACCTTTAAAATGGAAAACAGAGTCGACTAAAACAGAAGAGTCTCTCACACAGAAAAAGTAAATCCTGTTTCATCATTCTTTGTTTCGATGTAAGTGGATATGTGTGTACTAGGTAGAGATGACAATATATTTCTTGCTGTAGGTCTCACCCAGCAGTCTTCATTCCAGGCAGCAGAAAGCTATTGAGAAAAGGTCACTGTCTAGACTTTATCCAGAACAGAATGGGACTTGTTCGTGCATTCAACTCCTCATTTGCTTAAAAAATTAGGATGTAAGGCTCATCGGAGGCCCGCCTTCAGTGCACTGCCACGTGCAAAACCAGGAGGTCAAACTGTCTCTGTGAGGGTCTCTGGGGTTTCTGAGACCCTGGGATGGGGACAGGGCCTATCATCTCCCTATGTTCCTGTGTAGAGGTCTGAGCAGAGTGCATGCTTAGTGCTTACTGGGCTTTTTTTGTGTGCAAGATGGTATGTGAGGCCCAAACATGCTCCCTGACCTTCATCCACACATCTCAAGGGAAAAGACACGTGGTCCTGAAGCTCCATCCAACAGGGACAAGGGCACAGAGCCATTCGTTGACATGGCACAGGAAGTGGTAAGGAAATGTTTCTTGGGCAAGCTGTTATTTATCCTGGACCTGAGCAATCCCTGACCCTGATCTCTGCTGAGCAGAGCTGAAAGAAAGCTCAGAGGTGATATGGGAGTGATCCAAAAACAAGGTACATGTCAATAGTTGCATGAGGAAGAGGTTCAGATGAAAAAGTAGACAAGCTGGGATTTGAAGAGGCTGCACAGTGAACACTTGGATGAACAAATGAATGAGTGACCCTTATCCTCAGGAGAGCCAGGCAGCATCTTGGCTAAAAGTTGCACCCCTGCGCCCTCCCCACCCCACTACCAGGTCTGCCCCCTTCCTAGACTCCGGGCTGGGCAGCTGCGTCCACAAGGGAAAGCCTCTATTTCCCAAGGAGCATAGCCACCCCGGGTTTAAGAAAATGATCGGAGGATGGCCAACCCTGCCTCTTAACATATTTAATATCCAGATGGAAGAGGCTTTTTTGTTATTGGATTCTGTTTTAGTCAGTAAATTCAGTATCAAAGGTTGTTCAGTCACTTCAGCAATTGGGTTTGAATCATCTCTTCCAGACACAAAATCTTCAACTTGTGTAAGACATGCAGTGGGAGATCCAAAAATCCAGTTGCTCAACCACCAGTGGCTGCCAGAAGGTGCAATGAACTTCCCTAAAGAGCTGGGGCTGAGAAGACAGCTGGATTCTTAAACCAGCTGCCACTGCCCTTTGCCGTGTCTGCCTCCCACCACCTCCTGCTCACAGGACTGAGCCCCATCCTCTCCTTTGGTGGGATTCTATAGCTCCTGCTCTGCTCCTGCATGAGCCAGGGGATGCTGTCATTTCATTCGCTTTGTAATTATTCCCCAGTTTCTCACCATTCTCTGTCCCACTCGGCTGCCTGTGATTTTTTGAGGCAACTGCCTTCTCCTCCATCTCCTGGGGTCCCTGGACCCTCGTTCCACTGGCTACTCCTCAGTCACTCCAGGAACTGTCCTCCCTCTGCCTGGAAGGTGCACCTCACTCAGCCACTTAAACTCACAAGACCCAGTTCAAATGTCATCTCCTCAGTGCAGCCGTTCCTGGACCCCACATTCCTACACAGAAATCGTGAGTGCCTTGTCTATGTGTCCATAATTGGTGTCATTTTGCACAGACTCTATCATCATGCTTGCCACCACGTACAATGGCTGTTTGTCTATCTCCCTCCAGTTGCCTCGAGAGCACAGAGCAGGAAATAGCCTGAGAGCCCTCTAAGTGTTTGTTGAGTGAATGAATGCATGAGCCAGGAGCATGATATTCACCACAAAATCCAAAAATTAACTGGAGAGGGTATGAACAAGAGCTCGAAATAATATGCTACCCTCCCACCTCTACCCCTCATCAAGTCAGGTGACCAGAAAACAATGTCCTCGTCTACCATGCGGCGTAATCCCTGAGGAAGTGATTCATTGTTCTGGGACAGAACATCAGGCATTCAACGCTGATTAGAGGCAATAAAAGAAAACAGCCATACAAAGAACTTAATAAAAACAAAACAAAAATCCTCTAGAGACACTCCCATTAGAACATTCAAATTCTATGTCAATGTCTTCTACAATTCATTACCCACCCCCCAAAAAATTACTACAGGGACATTGGAAACCCTACATATCCTTCTTTGCCTTGGTTGCCAGGAGGCCTAGTCAAATTCAGAGCTCAGTCACCACAAGTGTATCATCGCTGGCACCTCGTAGAGTGATCTTAGTCTTTCCTCTGCATAATCTCTGAACGTTTTCAGCCTTAGCTAACGTAGATATAGGTCATTGCTTATTCTGCAGGATACTTCAAGTCCTTTTTGAAAGTGGAGGCTGAGAGAGGTAGAAAGAATGACAGAAAAAGAAAGACGGGAGGGACGATCAGGAGAGAGAGACAAGAAGAGCGGGAACCCATGACTGGTGCCCCTTTTCCCGGTGACAGTGGTGTCTGTTTCCGTGTCTCGTAGTTCTTTGGAAAGCCAAGGGTTGGGCCGTGGGGCCGTGCTGGTGCACCTGTGCCCTTGGGGACACAGCCCCCCGCACCTCCCTCCACCGGCTGTCAAGCCACCACCTGCAGGCAACAGTTGTGTTCCACGTCCCTACTTCTACGAGCTTTCGG